GCCTCTCATCCATGCCATTCTGCCTGGTATAAAGTCAGTGTGTCTGATTTGTAACAGCCACATGAACAAACCTGACTGAACCGACTATCAGGTCAAAGGGGATCCGAGGGCACAGGCACCTCAGGGTCTGACGATTTCCATCCTGGCCCCTAGGAAGGAAGGCAGGAGCTACTCCAGGTCTCTGGGGGCACAGCTGCAGGAGCAGAGAACACCTGTGAGCCACCCCATTGGGGAGACGAGGTCTGCTTGTCTGGTTTCCAGCCTGCTGAGGCAGTGGGAGGGTCGCTCAGGCTGGAGGGCCAGGGGCTCAGAACCCTGGCTGCTCACCTGGGTCTCTGTGCCTCCCACTCACTGCTCCATTCTCCAGCTGCCCCTGAAGGTTTGACGGGGACTCTCATGGACTAGGGTGGAGGGTGTGAATGAGCACAGCTGAAGCCCAAGGTGGTTCATGACGTGTGTCCATCGGGTCTTGTATTCTTTGGCTGTAACACTCCAGTGCTGGGGGGAAATGATGAGGATATGTTGAAGCTACAGTGCATCCAATCGTGCCTGGTGCCTAAAACAGAAAGCAAGCCAGGGGTGGAGGAGATTTTCAGGTAATAATATATAATGTGCAATCAATCTTATCTTGTGTCTGTGGGGCACCAAAACCATGGTGCAATGATCCTTGTGAAAGTAATTTGAGGCATCTGCCATCCCTGAGATGAAAGGTAAGATGAAGAAAAGGCCGCAGGGCTCTTTAGATAGAAGGGACACTCACAGAGAGCTTCATAAGACAGTGTCATGTGCTGAACACTAGGTACTTTTCCATTCCTCACAACAGCCCTGCAGAAAAGGTGTTGCTATGTCCAGTTTAGAGCTGCAGACATTGAGGCTCAGAGAGGTTATGTAACCTGCCTGAGATCACACAGCTAGGAAATGTGATCTTAGGTGGAGATGGAAAGCCAGTCCTATCTGTCTGACTTCAAAGCTTGTGACCTTAACCTCTACACTACAGTGTTTTATATGGGTGACTCTGCCGCACACAGAATCTGCAAGAAAAATATACATGGCAGTTTACACAAACCTGTAGCTTATGGCCTACAAGAACAGCAATGCTGCATGTTCTGCAGACATGGCTCAGTTCCTTTCTGTCCTGACTCATGTCATATGATTGGTTGCTTGGTTTACATGGTCCTGTCCTTACAATCCCCCAATAAGGTATGATATTGTCCCGAGGGGCCAATTCTGTGTCCTCCAATTAACTAAATCCAAATTAATTTAATCACAAATCCTATGATAAACCCAAACTAAACAAGAAGAAAGTTCTAGTTTAGAGCCCTATCCTGTGGCCTTATTGTTAAATCAGAATTGCCAGAAGTCTACAAAA